GGGGTTAAGAAGTGTGCTACAGTGTGGTCCAAAACGATTCGAGATGCAAAGATGCAAGATGCGCGCCTCATTTTCTTCAACTGTTACATTTTTCAAAGATCAATGCACTGTTGAGTCTTCACGATCCCATCAGCCAGTGTGGAGATTCATGTGATCACACACACACTCCTGGGGATTGGTGGTCAATGAGGGTTAACGCGTGATTTTACACGTCCTGCACGAGCTGTCACAAGCAAGTTTGCTGCGTCTGTTTCGGAGCTACGTCTGTTTCGCCAACACAAATAAAGACGTTCATCAGTATCAAGACCACTTTGTCGTCACACGCCATATGCATCTCAAGTCTGGGAGACGACGCTATCGGCTACATGACATCTCTAGAAAACTCTCAGTACTGTGATCAGTGTTTGAGACGATCAAGAAGAGCGACCACTGAAGTCGAGCAGGGTTGGGGAGGTCCTTCAACACAGCAATATGACAGAACTGTTCCTCACATCGCCACTTCACAAGGCCCAAGGCTGACTAATTACGAAACTCGTGCTGGGTCCTTCTCCCCACACTGTCGAAAGGCGAAACCTGTGAGGGCTTGGTCACAAGTGCGCGGCGGAGATAGTCTCCACGACGAAACGCTCCGCTTAACCAGAGATTGCCTCGGATTAGCGAGCCGATGCCGCGTGATACGGCACGTACTTAGCATGCTGGCTTTGGAAGTTATCGCGGGATTTTTTAGTTGCTAAGACGTAAGCGCTATCGCGACTCTTGGAACATTGTCACTACAGTACTGCAAGTCTTGAGGTCGGACGGTCAAGCTTTGTCCTTTCCATGGGCCGAGAGCAATACGCGAAGCAAGCCAGCATATGCCGCACACACTGTACTCGAGCACCTTGAAGTTTCTTATTGCTGTCGCAAGCCTAACGTATCATCCAAAGCACAGCAACTTTGAGACTTTTCTGTCCGCCAACGCCCCGACGACCATGTCACGGAGGTTCGACACACATTATTTGACCACCATGAGATCTCTCCATTACGTCGACTGTATGCACCACATCGGTATTCAATAGCATGATAGTGGCGGCATGATAGTGGCGGATAATCTTGAACAAGAACTGAAAAACGAATTTCTAACCTCGATAGTGCAGTACAGTGCATACCGTGTTGCACTGTACTGTACGACCAATATAGAACGCATTACAACCGCATCTCCTGTCCGAATCAAGTTGATAGTTGTCTGGAGACTGACAAATCTTCTCATCCATTGTACTGTACAGCACTTCAAGTAGGCTGCGACTACTCGATACAACACGATACGAATACTGTAGGTGCAGCTCAGTCACTCTAGCGCAAGTCTCCTTGCTGATACTCTGAAGAAGTTATTCTAGGACCTCCGGTTTCGGTGATGTGATTGAATTTTGTCAACTCCCTAATGCCGTGCTGTACAGTAGGTTACGGTACCAACGGTACTGTACACTATATTCAGGGTACTCTGCGTTAAAGCGCCCATGCGTTCGGCAGAATATGTACAGCACACGTGTGGAACATGGAGAAGAACGCATGAAAAGAGCAACTCCGATGATCAAACGCTCGAATGGGAACAGCATTTCCGTTGTCCGGATTAATATGCGCCATTTTTAGATCTCGCGCACCGTACTTTCTGGGAATGGGCCGATGAATTTCTTCCACTGCTCTCAGGAGCAAATTCACGTACTCGCTTCAGAGGCCTATCCGAAACCGTGTCACAGTCGCCCTGTTCGTGGACTTGTGAACGATACATGTCCTATACAAAATGGACCTGGTGAATGGTTCACTTGCGATTTCTTCGAGAAGGCTATCATACTGTGACACTGTATCCTTTTGCTTGAAGTCTGCGGTGCTGTTGTACTATGGTACAGTACACTATGGGGGCTCCCATGGAGGAGCTACCGTACAATGGAAGTGCGGTAGGCATCCTGTCACATCTTGCGCACTGAAGCCATGCTGCAACTAAAGCTTTACTGTGAAAAACGCTTGCAGAAGGAAGGTTTTGAGAGATTGGTAAGCGGATCAACAAGAAGCAAAATGCTTACGATAGGTTTCTATTTGGACGATTCTGACTTCAAAATTGGAACTAATGTCCAATTGATAGGACATTCGTTGAAGCGTTGAAAATTATTTTGAAACGACGCATTTGTACCTGCAGTAGGTAAAGCAACGTTTAGAGGCAGTACAACACATGCAGTACTCCCATTCCAAAAGTGGCCTCCGTCTGCTGCCCGAGAGAACCGCACTCATGGTGTCGTCGTTGAGCGGCATGCAACACAGAAAAAGCATTGCCGAGTTAGTCGTGGCAAATTGCAGGTGGTTGAAACATAACCGCCGTTGCTGTATAAATTTCTATGGGAAGTACCGGCCATTTCGTCCACACGGCGCATTTCCGAGAGGCAATATGTCATGCCACTTGCACCTGAACATTGCTTCATACATACCTTGAACTTCGTTAGTCAGGGAGGAAGGAATGCGGAGCAAAGTGCTGCCAAGACCGCACGAACTAGCCAATGTTTACGTCAAAGGATGTCTACCACGTGATATGTGACCGTTGTCCTAGCTCCCTGTACGTCGCAAGTGCAGAGATTTTCACCTTCCGTGGATCTGGAAAGCCAGGTGGGAATAAACAGTACTCTTCAGGTGTATGTACACTGTACCATACTCATTGGCCTGACGATGTTGGCAAAATCAGGTACAATCAGAGAAATAGAACACCTTTTTAAAGCTGATATCACAGATTCACTCTACGTGCGAGTGGTTCGACACTCCCGTGACCTTGTGGAAGAGGAGCTGACACACACTAGAGACATCAAAGTGCGCCTCGAAAAGAACGGGTTTTTCTTTGGCTTCATGGCCGGAATGAATTTTGAACAGTACCCTTGGTATTGTACACATACTGTAGTATCAAACGTGACGCAGTAGAAACCATTTGTTCAAGACAGGTGGTACTTTGCGATACTCGTGGTCATATTTAAACTGCGCTCTCCGATCATAAGTAGCGGTCACATGATGACAAAAATTGAATGCCGCCTTCCCACTGCACAGAGGGAGATTTCTTCGGCGTATTGGTGGTTTTCATTGAGGGATCCAAACTGAGACCGTCATCAAGCATACAGAGCTCTGACGAATGAGGCGGAATACAGTCCCAATACTGAAATTGTTTCTTACGAATGAGATTGCCTGGAATAAGATTCCTCGTGAAACTGTATTGCGGTCATGTTATTCGCGAGAGATTTCAAAGATATGGACTTACTGAACGAAACGTATCGTACCGAGCCCTTTTTGACTGCTTGGAAATACTGGTCATGCATTGCTGTAGCGGTGTCGCCTGACAATCGCAGCAACGAGATGCGGTCCATGGCAACCACCCAATTGGCTTGGCCTGACCAATGCCATCGGCGTCATGCATTCCATTCCACTAGTTTAAAGAAAGAGAGCGTGTTGTGGTAGGCGCAAGGCGCACACACGGTGTTTCAAAAAAACTGCTAATTCCGCACAGGTGTGACGAAATGTTTCACTGCTTACTCAGAATGAGTCTTTCCGCCTGTAAATGCAGAATATGCAGTGCAGTACATGCATACAGTACTCAAGAAGCAAACTGGTGGTTGGGCGGGGACTGAAATAAAATAACCATTTACTTCGTACTGTGCTTCATCGCAGTGCTGCATACATTAAATAAGCAAATACAGTAATTCTCAGCTGTGATGCCTCTCCATTCCGTTGAACATGGGGCCAGCCGAGCGCCATGGTGGCCATTGCCGTGAACACCCAGCCTCTAAATTGATTTAGACCCAGCAATTGAGTTGACGTTGTCCTTATTCCATCCCTTAAAAGGCCTGTTGCGGTAGGGAGGAAGTCTCGCAGTACTCGAGTACAGTAGTCAGCATTTCCTTGGCATTCGCAATCTCAATGATGAAGAAGAACCAAGTCACGGCTATCAATATATCCCTTGGTGAGTTTCCACACTGTGTTTTTTAGAAAAAGAATTACTGTACCCCTCGTACAGTACTGTAGATTACTTGCAAAATGTAAACTTCCTGTCAAGATGGGGACTGATATATCCTCAGTTAATACCAATAACACATGAGTGACAGGAGCATCGTTTCATGACGCGATAGTGTAACAAGAAACGAGCAATATGAGGAATATACCATGTCAGCTCCTGTGAATCTGAACTTAGTGTGGGCCATACAGGAGACTTGTTGCTTGCATTTGTCAGCTTCCCAACGCTGTCTGACTGGTTTTGTGGACACAGTTACACACTCTGGGGCACAAAAGTCATACACCCACCAAATACTGTATGAGAGGTTATTTTGGAAAAAGAACACTGGCCACCTAAAGGCGCCATTTAAGGGTGAACTAGGTTTAAAAATGACAACACTCAATCGCCTTGTGGAGGGGCATAGCCCCTGCACAAGGCGCACAAGGCGATGGTGAGAAATCGGTATGCATCCCTCCATGTGCGATATTTGTGAATCGTCATCGCTTTGCCACGGCCGCTAAATTTCCGACAGTGCCGTGTAGTTTCGAATCACTTTTACAATCCCGTCATAGGCAACCCCCTTCTTGAGTGTCGATAATAACTTCGATAGTGCTTGCCGCACTGGTTGCACCTCTGTCGGCCCTGGCCGCGTATTTCATAACGCCTGAATACCCCCTGACCAAGCTTTTCATGCGTATGTCCACACCGCCTTTCATACCCCCCAGTCGTTTGTGTATGCCCGCACCCCTCCTTCTTACGGTATACTGTATGCCTGTCTTTTCGAGCACACGTATGTGCAGTATAGTATGCAACCAACACTTCCGTTCCTCACCTCTCTTCATATACAAAAATTAGACCTTTCCTACACCTCCCCCCTCCTGGGTTCAGAACCAGTCTCTTGCTCGGCCCTCTTTACCTTCCTCCATCCCGCTTTTCTGCCGCATTATGTAGGACAGCATCTCCACTAGAAAAAGCTTCAACTTACCTCCTCGCCCTCCACATGTTTCGGTGCGGCCATCCAAACTCTAATTCCGTTCATCCCACAACTTCCTTCCCATCCCACTGGCTGCCAGCCCCCACAGCAAATTCGTCCCTAGTTCTCGCATCATTGCCGCCGACTGCCTCAGCCATGCCGGACTCACGCCTGTCTATCGAAGCGCTGGTCAACGGCCCAATGCCCTCGACCCGCCCCTGCACCACCTCGCCGTTGTCGTCTTCCCCTTGCTCGTCATCAGATTCCTTCAACTCTCTCTCCTACGCGGCATGGACCCGGGATAGTAACGTTCCGAGCCCATCAACGCCCCTCTTACCTCCTACCGGTCCGGTCCTTGCACCACTGCGAACACCGTCTCCTTCGCGTCGCCCGTCAGAGCCTCTCGCCCCAACTTCCCCGCAGACTGTGATCGTGAAAACGCCGCGTGGGAAGAGACATCGATGCAATTTCAGAGGGTGTGGGCGTGACTTCACTCGCTTGTCGAATCTGAAGGCCCACTGGCGCCGACACTCTGGTGAGGAGCCATATGCGTGCGTGCATTGCACCAGAACGTTCAAGTGGCGGTCTTCTCTGAAGAGCCACGAGCTGGGATGTGTTTACGAATTCACCAAGGCTAATTCAGGGCTTCGATGGGTGTACGTCGACACCGATCAAAGACGAGGCACTGAACAGTCGCTCACAGCACCAAAGCCAGAACCAGTCCTCAGACCACTGGCCAATGGGACGAAACGACCGACTCCATCGATGCCATACGAACAACATATGTCAGGATATGGGCCGAAAATATTGCACCCGCAAGGTCCAAATGTTGGTCCTCTGGAAACTAGAACATACGTGTGAACCACGATATCGTTGACGTAACCTGTGAGAATAGTAGTTCTGTGCTTGAATGCCTAAGATTTGTAAATGTAAAAAGCTTGCCTTCCTCTGTCCCGTTTCAATGCATTGTTCCGACACGTTCCTCGGACTTTCTTTAAGACGTGGATCCTTGTGAAACGCAGATTCCGTAATCAAGTTGCAAGAGAAGTTTTCATGAACAGAGCGTACATTCATAAGTGTGGAGTGGGAGGCAATAATTGAGAATCGCAGCACAAGGTCAGGACCTAGCCCAAGGGAAAGCGCGATCGAAGGAGGGGCATGAGTTGCATACCAAAGATAGAGTCACATGTAGATGTTAGTAGTCAGTGCGCACGGTTTTGAGAGGAGCTTCTTCCCGTTCTGAAAGACGACGAGCATGCAAGAGTATGCACTTCAGAGATGCGCTCGCAATTCTTGAATATTCAGCTGTGTGTCGGATGGATGTTGGCTAACGTTGAATCATCTTCGTATTACTGTTGCATCGCTAGCATGGTGCCGAAGCGGTAGGAAGGGGATGGCGACAACGAGTGTCCACATGATTTGCTTGGCTGGCAAGAGCGTTTTTAGAGGAATGAGCAAGCGTAGGACGTCGAACTCACCCCATCATTCATTCAAGATTCAAATTTCTGTTGAAGACGGGATGGGAGCCCTGCCGGCAGATACAACGAACAAGAGCATGGCTGCACGGTAGTCGGAACATACATAGTTCAAGCTACATTTACGGCATGAGGACGCACATGACGGCTGAAGAAAGGCGTGGCTTTTCTGACGTCCAGTGCCCCTCAGATGCTCTCATAGCCTGCGAGGTATGGAAATGTGCACAGTAAACACACACAGGCTATCAAGGCACGCGGGCGGCGTGTGTGAACGAGGTCAATTGGTGAGAAGGGAAGTAAGGCGCCTGTTGGAAGGGAGGAGGTTGTTCGCAATTTGGAGAGCAGTTTTTGGACTTCTCTGGATGATATTTCCTTCAAAAAGTGGCCTAGTGTCTAGGTGAGAAATGACCTCATATGAGGTCACTTTTCAACTTATATTGGGCGACTCCTGAAATTCTAAAATCGCAAATTGTGTTGACCAAATCGGGATTTTGTGACACACAAACGGCGCGTTGTGCACACACAACGCGCCGTTTTCTCGGACGGGCGACCCCATGCTAGGTTAAATGTGTATCGCACAAATGTCAAAATGTGCGCGCGTACAATCCAAATTTACTGTACACAGAGAAAGCGTCGGCCGCCGCCCGACCGACGAGACTCGACATCTACATCCTACCGAGCATGGCTCTGAATGAGAAGTAGCAATAGAATAGCCATTTGGTCATTCATGGTTCTGACGGTGGCTGCTCGGTGAAAACACCATCATGATTGAGCTTAGCTCACAGCACACACTGTAAATAGAGCTCCGACGGCGTCATCGCCGGCGTCCGGTGCCGTGCTCGTCGTTAGGAACGACCCTGACACACCGTGCTCGTCGTTAGGAACGAGTTCAAAGCATGCGTACAGTAGGGGGACGCACATTATGTGCGCAAGCATTTCCGTGGTAAAACTCATTTTTTTGTTCACAAAAAAGAAAAATATGACTCTGACACAAAAAATAATTTCCGGAGGCGCCCATTTTCTTGACTTGCGCTAGCTCAACAAGAGGGTTCTCCCTTGTGGTTCCATTCAGATAAGGCAGCCCTCACAGATAAGGCATACAGCCATTTAGGTCTACCATAGCAAACAGAATAAAGTCGCGGTCGCCTCCGCCACCTCCGGGGGTCGGAGGCATCGGACCAGTTCTTGGCATCACATCCCTGGTTGTAAATAAAGTTTTATCATACGCGATATGCACCGTGACTTTAATACAATTCTCAATAAACTCAATTACAGTAGGGGCAATAGAAGCCATTGAATTTCTTGAAAAACTCAAAGTATTGCAACCTATCACAGCGCTCCGCCTGTCCAGTCCAAATATCCGTCAACAAGAAACATTTACTTGCCACTGGGTAAGGTAAACATTGACCACTCGTCTAATTTTGTAGTAAACATGTTGACGCTACTGGGCAAATCAATATGAGAATGCCATTTCCACTGCTGCACGTGCATGGACGCTCTATATTACCTATGTACCGCACTTGATCTTCTGGATGATATAAACTGGACTGTTTTAGGTAGTGAAAAATCGATACAATCTTTGGTACATCATACAAATAGATGTATCTTTAACAATTCTCATGACTTCGATCTGTAAAGTACAATTCTATTCCATTGGTGAAGCTGTCACCGATTACGCTGTGGTAATGGGATTAAATTACTTAGTAATAAAGCGCAAATGAGAAGGCAACACCCTGCAAACTTTAATATACTTAATGCGACTTCAAGATAGTGCGTGTTTCTCTATGGAAAAGACGCTTGATCGTGGCAACATACATGCTGTGCTCTCATCATGTGTTTTGAAACTCCAAAAAGGACCCAAAACTCATGAGTTTCGGAAGGCCAAAAAGGGGCCCAAAACTCATGAGTTTCGAACCCCCACAAAAAGGTATTCGAAACCCATTATGAGAGTCGAACCCCCAAAAAAAGGTATTCGATATTCAAAATGAGATTGACACTACATATTCCATAAATAACAAGTTAACATTTGCCTGCTGCTCACGTAACATTAACCACCTCAGCAAAGGTCACATTCAAACATGAACATGTGGCTTTACTCAATTCATGAGTATAGGACCTATGAAACAGGGCGTATACAGCTATCAACGCTTTTTCAAAGTTCGTAGGTCGCTCGGTGATCTTCAGAAGAAATATGGGACTCAATAGGATAGCACAGATATCTTCAACACATAAGTCTCGATACCATTTTACTTTCGTGCCTACTCAGAGATCTCTATCAGAAGTATCGACATCAATACAGTTCACGGCAGAATCATTCTTTTCCAAGCCTTGAGCATTCTTTATATCGTCGCTACTCGTTTTAATTTTCAAGAACAACGTCGAGATAATTTTGCGCAGGAGAAGATCCAGTGTTACTTCCTTCAGGCAACTCAGAATCTCAATTCGGGCATCAAATGCTGATAACGCATTTTCAACTTTCATTTTCAGATCGGTAAGCTTTTTCATCTGTACAGCTGAAGCTTCTTTGACAGTTTCGTTCATTGTCCCAGCTACATTCTTCTGAATTGTACAATTCCGTACCACAACCGCCCGGCGAGATGATAATCGCGCGGGAGGGCGGGTGCTACTGTGGCGAGCAGGCATACACGCGCCCGCCGCCGTGCACAGTAGTACCCCAAGGGTCCGACGTGGCACAGCCGGTAACAGCGGGCGTGGCCACGGGTAACACGTGGCACAACCGTTAGCCGGGATGGTGGCCACGGGTAACACGTGGCACAACCGTTAGCCGGGATCGTGGCCACGGGCACACGTGTATAGTCCGTACGGTGGCTAACTAGTAATTAGTAGTTAATGGCACAAATTAGCCAATTTAGCACAGTAGTTGGTATACAGTAAGTAACAGCTACTGAAGCGGAACAGGTGTCCTGGTGTCCCACTTAGGGGTTAAGACCCGGGGCACCTGCCCCGTTCCAGTAAACGGTAGGCAGACTCGCCTCCCCTCCCTTTACGGCTAATTGCTATCCTGTTCCCGTTTCCGTTTTAGTCTCAGGCTTCTAACCCGTGACTGGCCGTCCGGATCTAACACTACCGACCGGCTGCGCGTCACTGGCCACGTGAGCCTTCCCTCTTTTCGATTCCATCCGTACGATCTGCGTTCGCGCGTGGGTTACCCAGCGGCGCACCCTCCCTTACCTCTAACCCCCCTCGTTTCCGAGTGGTCGGGACGAAGGTAGTTATACCACATGAATCATTTTCATTTCCAACAAGTCTCCCTTCATTGTGTTCCGACTTTTATGCTTCGTGTCTGAACCAGATACGGAGGCTTTAATTTTTTTTCGGAACTGCCTGGGATATTACAGAGAAACTTGGATCTCTTCTGCTTTTTCTGCGGAGATTTCGATCCCGATGGGACAACCAAAGAGTCAAACCGCTGTCGCTTGCGAAGGATGTTGTACGCGCCAACCCTGCTATCCAATCCAAACGATTCCTCGACTGAAATGTTGTCGAGATCTTCGAGTCGTTTGGCGGCAATGGCTGGATTAATCTGCACGCCACAGATGTGATGTCCTCTCTTATTTTGGCTCTCAACGATGTTTGTGTCCAGAAATCCAGTGCGGAAATTTTGATCAGCCATATTTGAAAACGCTGTAATGGCCAACGTCCTGAAGGGGTATTTTAGTACCCAATCTGCCCAAGACCTGTCCCGCGATCGGACGTAGTCCAGAGCCTCGTTTGCTTCCACAGTGCTTCTGCAGTTGCGCATTTTCATCATCGTTCTATAGAACACATCTCTGATATTCACCGGTAGTCGCGCCGCTCGTCGCCTTGCATCCCTCTCAAAATGAACAGTACAACCAATCATGATGTTCTCCACATGCATACGTGCTGAACCTCCGATTGTCGATTGAAGGGCCAGGGAAATTCCTTCAATTTCAGCGGCATGGAAGTCGGTAGTTATTGACCTGATTTCGATGCACCGAATCCCGCAATGATCTAGATTGAACACGTATGGTATGCGTATTAGGCATAAACTTGGCGGCGCACTCACAGCTCTTCTCCAGTATGTCTGCATGTGATCCAGGAACAGTTTCCATCCCATACAGTACGAATCACGCGTAAGTCGGTTCATCATGATCTGGCGACGACAATTCCCTTCGTTCCTGATAGGCCGGGATGAGCTTGTGCTACAACATTGTATAAATATCACGAAACTTTAGCCGACAATCGAAATGGCTTGAAACTTTCTTTTGTCGACATGACAGCCTTGACCATAGAAACGTCATTTTCCAATGTCTTGAAGGTCACATCTCCGGCAAAGCAAGATGACGTCGCTCCTTTTGCGATCATTTAATTAGTTGCTAAACGAACCACCGCTCCTCCTTTTTCCGCAGTTCTGGCTTCTCTCACATATTCGTTTTTCTCATCCGCTGCCATTTCAAACAAAGTTCCAATGCTTTCTCTTTCTTTTGCGCCAGATTGCATTGCCGTGCAGATATCGTAAATTCTGTGGTCACTTACAGAAACCCCGGAACCTCTAGCTCCAAAGCTATGCAATAGTTTCTTCTGAACCTCCAATTTGATGTGGGCTGCGAGAGCTCCTCTCGACTTGCGAGCTCCTTCAACAATAAGAATATCTTTCGCGAAAGAGAGTACAGGCGGCGGTGGCGGGGGATGGTTGTGTGTTCCTTGAAAGTAGACAAAACAAAGTGTGTTTTGTTCTCGAGGCAATCCTCGCAATATATTACCTCTTTTGTAGACCGCGGTATCGCACAACACCTGACCGACCGGTTGCATGAGGATTAAATTTACAGGGCAAGCCCCAGTCTCGATAAGAGATGTTCCGTGATCCGGACATTGAGCAGTTCTCTTTCCCTTGGTGAGGAAGAACATACAGCCCTCTTTGCTGCAGTCTGCCACTCTCCTGTAGTGCAATAATGGGCTCTACAGGGGGGTGGAACGAAAGGAAATCAATAAGGTATGACAAAGTAGTCCGGGTTGGGGGACACACGTGTGAATATTTGCACAGTCTTATTTTAATTATTTGTTATAATTTGGTTACCAATATTTAGCTGACATTATATTAGATCTAGGATCTAGCGCCGCGAGCTACTGTAGTGGCTCCGGCTGGGCGATATATTCCTTAGCCCGCTGACCACCGTCAGTAGAGGTAACCCGAGTTGCCAGAGTCTGATATAGCCTTGGTCGAATTCCGTCTTTTACAAGACTCTTTTACAAGACATTCCCTTCAACTACAGATTAATTTATCCTTTGCGTTGGGGGGTTCCCTTTCCTTTTCCTTTATTTACCGATCCTTTTCTATATCTATTTCTACCTATTTTCCCTTATCTTGTGTTGGTACCATCGGTATTGGTTGCAACCGAACCGGTGTAGGTGTCTTGGCCATCGGGCGACACAGTTGACGTAGCGCTGCTACCGTGACCCATTTTCCGACGGAGACTGTTGCAACGACGTCTCCCTCGAAGGGCTCCGTCGTGTGTACAAGCCAGTGTTGGTGCCATCGGCCTCAGTGGTGACCGAACCGGTGAAGGTGTTTCGAACCTTCGGGCGGCATAGTTGTTGTAGCGTTGCTACTTTCATTTCATCTCGTCGGGCTGCGTTGCGACGCCCCCATCGAAGGCCTTGTCGCGTTACAAGGTGCCGAAGAAGCTCAACGAGCATTGGCTTTACAACCCAGTGGAACCGGGGTACCTACGTACACGCCCCACCCCACACTCGTCGAGCAGTTCTCTTCGCAAGTCTCTACCACATCGACCCCGGGCCGGGCTGTTTCTCTGTTCCCCCTATCAGGGACCTGAGCTACTACGAGTCGCAAGCTCTTTTAAACGGAGAAGGGAGAGTCGCTCACTCCGTAGCGCTTTGCCGTCGGCAGTTCTTCATTTTGTTGCTGTTGTTGTTTTTGCTGGACCATCGGATCGCGGCCTCTGCCTGACAGGCGCATTGCACTACATCTCCCGCTATGTAACATCTCTTGTAATTCAACCAGAGCCTCATCTGTCA